AAAAACAAAAAAAAAAAAAAAAAAAACGCTCAGAGGAAAAGAACGTATAATGTGCAGAAATTTAGTGATAACTATTTGGCAAAAAAAAAAAAAAACGGAAAAAAAAAACACTACAAGATCTCTCATCCACACAAACACACAACACAACACCGTTTTATATTTCATAACTCATACAACCATCATGGTGTCATAAATGACATCAAACAAACGAAAAAAAAAAATATAGGTATAAACTGAAAAATCTTCATCATCAACTTTGATTTTGTTATCACCCCTTCTTTGTTCGTTTCTTTATTTTTGTTTTTTTTTTTTTCTTTCTTTCTTTCTCTCTCGCTCTCCCTTTACTTTCTTTGTATGTGTGTCCGTCATATCTTGTCATTTTCTTTCATATATATATATATATATATATTCTTCAAGCCATCTGTCTCTTAATGAAAGCCTTTTGTTTGCTAAACACACCCTCAAGCACAGATAAGCCAACCAGTTCATCCACCGCCTCCAAATCTTGTCGCCGCGCGGCAACATCATCGGAGTAACCACGATCCGGTGAGTAATTTGGCCGCAGATCATCAGGATAGAATTTGTTAAACACCACCGCATGTGCAGTAAGATAGCCAAGCACAACAAAACAAATTGCACTGTAATACTCACGTGTTTCCGCCCCCGCACGTCCTTCCACATCACGTCGTTCCGCTTCTTCTTCTGCTTTCGCCGCCTGTTCATAATTCCCACGTTCTGTTAATTTGCGTTTGCGATATGCAAGTTCATCTCGACTGGTTCGATGTGTTAGTGGGTGGTCTGTGAGTGTGTTACTGTGCATAGTTTCCTCAAACAAACTCTTCGGAGCTCGGCGAATAGAAAAGACATCATTTGTCTTTCGCTCCAGTTCTTCTGAGACCCGGCCATCACCACTAACAGTTCCTCCCACTACTGCCGCACCGGCCCCTTTGCACAACCGCAGAAATGGCTTTCGCAGCATTCTATGTCGCTCCTTAATGACCCTCAGAATGTGAAAAAAAAAAAAGATAAAAAGATAAAAAAACACATACATATACATATTCATATATAGAAAACTCAAACGATAACACAAATACACTCTATGTATCGATAACATACCTGAAAAAAAGAAGAACTCCTCTTCATGTCAACGTATACTTCTTTTTTTTTTCTTTTTTTTTTCTTCTTCTTCTTCCAGTCATTCTTCTCTCTGTTTCTTAATAACAGAGAACCCTACAGAATATCAGGAATTTTCGATAGCGTAAAGCGGCGCAAAAACATTATGTGTCTTCTCAAGGAACTCCCTTGGAGTGCGGCCCTTTAACATTGGATACGAAGGAACACGAGACCACAATCCCGCATTCGCCCGTTCACTCTTCAATGAAATCCCAATGGAGGCAAAAAATGAAGATGCCTTCCCTGCCACATCTGGGGCACTATCAATTGCATTTACAGTAGCAAATAAAGTGAGGATAGACTCATGTATATTATCCATGCTTTTCTCCAACTGGTCCACCGCATTAAATACAGTTGACAGTTGCTGACTTTTTTCTCGTAGTAAGGCAAGATTAGGTTGAAGACCCTTCTGCAATAGCTCCTCCGTCAACTCTTTCAGTTCCTGCTGAATACATGCATACTGCTGTCGGAGATTCGATAAATACGCCTCCTGCTCTTGAATAACTACATTGGCATCTCTCATATGGTCTATCAATGCGGAGTGAAACGGTTCACGAGGAGTTTCGCCATTCAACATTTCCTACACTCCACTTTTTTTTTTTCTTTTTTTTTTCAGTGTGCCACAACAGAGAGAAAGAGAGCCTCGCACACCTTTTGTATTAGTAGAGTAATATGATTATATAGTTTGTTTTATTTTTTTTTTTTGTTTTCATGCCATTGGCAATGAGAAAGCGAGAAATGCAAATAGAAGAGTGAGGTGAAGAAGAGAAAACAATAATAATAACAAAACAAAGTGTACATTAATAAATGATAAATATTTATTACAGCTCTCTTTCTCACTCTCTGCACCATATAGACGAGCCATGGAAACATTTCTCCTGAAAAAAAAAAAGAGGTTCTACAATATCATCATCATAATCATAATCATAAGCGATTTAATCATTTCTTCTTCCACATCTTCTTCTTCTTGTTGTTTTTCCTTCCACACAGACACCTCTCTCTCTCTCTCTTTCTCTCTTTCTTTCTCTCTCTTTCTCGCCTTGTTCTCCTTTTTATCAGTGTCCTTCTTCTTCATCATCATCACTTCTTACTATTTCTTCGCCATAAGACCCTGAATAACGCTAAACACAAATGGTAAGACTAGATAAAGCCAGTATTTCTGGAGAAACGAACGGTTATCCTCTGTCACTTCTTCTTCCTCTTCTTCTCCCTGTTGTTGGTGTTGTGATGATTGCTCACCGTACAATGATGATGTCTCTGCAGATGCCGCATCAGTTTTGCGCTTGCGTTGACGATTGCGTGGGGATTTCCCCTCCGCTTTATTCATCAATCGCTCGAGTTCCGTGTAGTCTGGCAGACTCTGCGGGGCCACCGGCTCCACTAGGCCCACGCGGGTCTCCAGCCGCACCTGCGGGAAGAGGGCGAGGATGCTGCGATCACACTCATCCCCGTCCACCAGTTTGGCGTGAAAGGCGTTGGTCTCACTTGTGGTCTGCAGCCCAACCGCAGAAGTGCCGGCGCCAACCGCAATGCCCAACAACTCCCGCAGGACAATCGTGCGAGAGTCTACAGCCTCAAACCCGCGGAGAATAGAGCAGGGGGTGAGGGCAACGGAAACGGCATGTTTACCTTCCGTATCCTCTTCGCGAATAAGACGGTAGTATACAAAGGCAGCCTTTGCAAAGGCGTTTTTATTTTCTTTGGATAATTCCACCTCTTTGTTGGGTTGTTTTTGTTTTAGTTTGGGGGTGGAGTCTCCGTTGCGGGAAATTGTGAATGTAGAGACAGGCTCCCAACTTCCAGTTGCATCCACACGGCGTTGAAGTACATACGACTGCGTCGCAGCATCGGTAGAAATGACAGCAACAGCAAGTAATAGAGCAGTCAATAATACAAGTAAGAACCGCGACATTTCTTTTATTATTTTATATATATATATATATATATATATATATATATATATATCTCCTTTTTTTTT